TTAGCCTATATCAGTATGACGCAAATATCAACTCTTTAAATTTCCATAAACATAAAAAGCCAAGCCGTTGTAAATGCGAGAGATTTTTATAGTATTGTACATTATAAAAAGTGAAAAAACATTTGTGACCATGTGTTAGCGTTTAGCGTAGATCGATAGTGCTTACAGCATATAGGCGGATTTGACGCAAGTAAACCTCTGTGATAATTCAGTAATTAGATATGAAATCAAAGATTTTTATTTGATGTTTCTCTGATTAATTTCCTTATTTAGTAATGTGAAACATCACCTTAAACGTGTAATAAAATGATTGGTCGCTTATACAATTTTGTAATTTGTTTATAAATCATAATACGTGTGTATGTAGGTCATTTTTCGAATTATCACTTCAATGACAACCTGAATTAAATAGAATAGACAACTTTTAAGAAATAGCACATGATATACTTTATAATATAAGATATATTTAGAGATGATCAAATTCTTCGCTGTGATCTTTCATTCTTCCTTTGATGATCAGTGATTATCAAATAATCTGAGCGGTAAAAAATCCGAACATAAAATTGAAAAAAATGACAACAATGTATATAATATATTTATGATACAAAAATAAAAAATTACGTAGCATGTCTAATTTTTTTTACTGCTTTGTATTTAGCTATGCACTGCGCTGCGCTGCTCAGCTCAGCAAGAACTAGAGCATAGTATATTATAAAATGCGATCAATTTCTTGAAACAAAAAAACATCTTTTTAGTAATTTTTTGCTTAAATAGATTATAGCAACAAAATAAATCGAAGCTCGAATGGAAATTTGGCAAATTTTTGTTTCACAATTATACGTAATCGAAGCTTAACACACATAATTACAGGTTATATTGTTTCTCTTTATTAACATAAATCTATCCATCGAATTATTACAATAATACTAAAACTATCAACAATCGTTCAACCATTCGCAGACTGAAACCACATCCTTATATATTCGTAATTTTAGCCTGGAGTTTTAAACTCCTACTGGGAGCTTTTAACTCTTACCGGGAGCTTCTAACTCCCTCCGGGAGCTTTTAACTCCCTCTGAGAGTCATAGGCTACAATATGCCACCATAATCATTTTCCCAAATAAGAAAGTTTCAGACATAATACCGGCTCACTAAAAGCCGATCCCATCCCTAAGTAACATTTCATATTAATAGATTTAATTCAAGAATCACCATTACTTTAGAAAGTTTGTTATACCTAGAACTCTTACCCTGGTCGGAAAATACCGACCCGGGTTATAACCCGGATTAACGGGTCAAACGGATATTCATAAAGTTTTTTGAAGTTAATTCTTAAGTTGATGCAACGATAGAGTACAGCTGACTCCAATTAATTAAATCGGAGTTTGTAGGATTTTGTATTGAAAAAAATTTTCGACTTTGCTCGTGATTTGAGTTCGCCCATTTTCTACTAGAGTTAATACTTTACTATGTTTTTATTTCAGGATTTATTTTATATCCGGATGTATCCGATGTTTTATTATAAATTTTTAACAAAATATCAATCCGGATATATTTATATCCAGATTGAAGTATTAACACTATTTTCTACACCGAGAAATACGTAATCCCTCTGACCCGCACGGGTTACGACTGGGTAAGAGCTTTACTATTTAGTAAACTACAATGTCTTCTACCTACATAGTAAATTATGTACTATTATAGTGTTTAGTAGGTTTTTGCATACTTTAAATTCTGACCCGTTTGACCCGGGTTAGAGCAATTTTCAACCCGTACGGGTCAACTGACCCGGATAATAGCTCTAAAATATTTTATAATTTTTATATAAAATTAGTGTTATAGTATAAAGAATGGCGCTATAATTATTATTACATGTAATAATTATAATTATTATATGTAATTTATATAATAATATATATAATAATAGTCATTACTTTTTTGTAATAATAATTATTACATGTAATAATAATTATGGCGCCATTCTTTATTATAGTATCGACATTATTTGAGTGCTACCAATGAAAAAGGGCCATCCGGACTTTCAATTATATTTTGTATACAGTTAGCCGTCTTTAGATGATAGATTTTCCATAGGCAGCTAACTGTACACAAAATATAATTGAAAGTCCGAACGGCCTTTTTCCCTTGGCAGCACTCATTTAGACTATATATTAATTACCTGTTATCTGTTGATATTTGAGTGTCGTCAAAAGAAAACCCGACAATCTAAAAATAGATCACAGATCACTTATGAATTTCATAATGAACTATGTGATCTATTTTTAGATTGTCGGGTTTTCTTTCATATAGTTTATAGCTAACCTATCGGGATAACCCCCAATTTACGTTAAAGCGATCAACAATATAACAAATTAACAAAATTAGAAATCACGCGATCAGGTATAAACACCATTTCCTAGTCTATATTTAGTTAATCAGAGAATAATTAACGACATTTAATTGGATAAATTAATACCCTAGCTTCAATAATAGAGTAAAATGAAACCAATTCTCATTTTTTCTACCGCATCTACTGTTACCCTTATTTTTCTTTCCTGAAACTACCACGAACAATAATTTTTCTTTAATTAAAAATGAAATTATCACATGGCATATCATGCATGTCCCGATTACTTTTTATATTGTCTGTGGTCTTTTTAATAATCTATTTCTTTGACATAGGAAGAGAAATTAATCATAATAACTTAAATAAAATAAAGTTAGATCAAGAATTAGCAGAAAAACGTCAAAAATTAGAACAAGATGCTGTTGAAATAACTCGTCAAAAGATTAAATATCTCAAAATATTTAAAAAATTTAATAATTGGATTCCAGGATCTAATCGCATTAATAATGTTGAAAGTTTAAAAAATTTTCGAAACCGTTTGGAATGCGTTACTACAAAAGGTAAATGGGAATTAGATCTTACTCCAAGATCTTTAATTAAACACAAACAAGATCCATTATATAGGAAATGTCATAAGAGACATCAAAATAGTGTTGGTCACCAAATTACTTCTGTAGAAGAAGAATGGAATTTAATTCCAGAATCGGCAAAATATGTTTGGGAAACACCAAAGGAGGAATGCTCTATGCCAAAAATAAATGTTGATCAAGCTTGTGATCTAATTTCGGGACTTAATATTTTCTTAGTTGGAGATAAATCACATTTTCAATTACATGAACTTTTATTAGATTTTTTTCATGAAGGTCCTGTTCAATGTTATGGTGAATCCGCATGTAGTTACCACATTCTTTGTAACTTTATTTCTAATCGCGATAGAAAAAAATCAACAATGAAGTTTATAAGAAATGATATACTTTCAACCGGAAGTAATCCATCACAAGTAGGAATTAAAGATTTACAACTTCCTTGGCTGATGCCAGGCCCTAATGTTTACATTTTAAACAAGGGACATCATTGGCAAGACGATGAGACATTTCGAGATAGTTTAATAAACACCGTTATACGTATAAGAGAAAAATCTCAAAATTGTCTCATAATTTATCGTGCTACTACTATAGGACATTTAAACTGCCAAAATGTTGATAAACCTTTGCCTGTTCCTCCGAATGCTACAGAGTTAGAAAGTCTTCCTTATCATTGGGGCGATATTCATAGACAAAATTTAATCGCTAAAGAAATTATTGAAGCTGTTGGTGGGGTATTTTTAGATGTAGAATCAATTATGATTACAAGAGCAGATGGTCATATTGGTGGTCGAGATTGTTTAAGATGGTGTATTCCTGGACCTGCAGACGTTTGGTTAGATTTTTTATTTTACACTTTACAAGAGTTGTTGTGATAAAAATATAGTGCACTTTTTTTCCGATATAACTTTCAAGCTTCTTAGAATTTATAAGTTCGATATATATACATATAGAACCATCAGTATTTGAATATATATATTTATTGATATTCAAAATTGAATTACATAACAAAATTTTTAAAAATATTTCCTGAATTGGCAAAATTAAAATCCAAATATATATACACATATAACATCAAAATTAATAAATTTATTATTTTACGTAGAATAATGAACTCTTTGACATACGTATACATTTTTACTATAGTGCTTATGGAAAATTGTTCTTTTGATTGATTACCAAAATCAATCCACCCTAATCGTTAACACGTTATTATTACTGTCCTATACTGTCTGTAAGAACTGTCGCAACGATTGAGGGCGCAATCATTTGATCTTTCGACCTTACGATTCCTTGGAAAGTTCGAATTGTTTATTATTATATTAATTTTGATTCTTTCTAAGTTTTTTTTTTTTTTTTTGGATGAGAGGGCTTTCTTAACGATTTTTTAAGAAACAAACCACTACTATTAGTTTAGGATAAACAGTTTAAATACAAGCTTGATAACTGAATCAATTGTACGAATGACATCGAATTAAAGACTGGACTCGTAATTCACGCACTAAGCTTAGAAGAGTATTCGAATCATTTGATTGAATCAATTTATTTGTTTATTCGAATTACAAAAAATAAAATAAAAACAAATAAAATAATAAATAAATATATTAGTCATTCCAATGATTATATTTCCAAGATAAATAATAAACTTGATATTCTGAAATCCGGCCTTCCATTAGGGAACTCATATATTTTATAATACAGTCTAAAAAGAGCAAGTGACTCGCGAATCTCACGAGCCACAAACCGACTACTAACATTACCTAAGCGTACCAATATCATAATTTCTTTTTCTAATTGCTGTATTTTAAGTTTCAAGTCTTTGATCTAATTGTAAATAAAAAAGGTTAATCGACGTCTTCATCGAATCATAATCTATTATATTAAAAAGAAAAGCAAAAAAAAAAAAATTAGTAATATTGAAATAGAGTATTAAACTAGTCAGATATTACACTGCCTATTATGAAAAATGTTCACAAACATAATACTATAAAACATAAATCAATAAAAACTTAATAAATAAATAGTTACCGCAGGTAAAAATTTGATTTTTTTCTCCGATGTAATATTATGTGGATAGCCACCCATTAATTGAAGAAACTTTTTTTACCTTCGTTGGCGTATTTGTAACTACCTCAAATAAAAAGGTTTTTTGAAAAAAATGGGTTAAGAAAAAATGTTTTTTGATTAACGTTAAAAAAAATAGAAAACTAAGAATATTACAAGCTAGATCGCGAAGTTTTGTTTAAACAGTAAAAGTGTGCGAATAAGAATATATGTATAATGTCTTTAGAATTTTTAAACACGATTTGATACTTTGAAATAGTAAGAGCAAGCTTGAAAGATAAAGATGTAGTTCACGAAAATTTTTCAATTCTAGACTCAAAGCACATCAAAATAAGCATTACTGCCAATCGGTAGAGGATTATCACGATATCGCATAAATCACATGGACTTTAACCAATCATATTTCAATTATTTCAATATGATAAAAGATGATTCTGTAAAAGTTCTGCGATTGGCCAGAATTACGTAAATTATGATGCTAAATCCAAGTCGAGATTTAAAAATGATCTGAACCAACTCCATGAACGCAGAAAATCATCGTCCCTGGTCCGGGTGTCCAATACAGTTTCCTCGAATAGGCTGTTCAGTAAACTTAAAAGTTATTCGGTATAATACAGTATAATGTAGCAGGCACTTGTAATCGTCTTGAATCATAGAAAAGCATTGTCAAAGGCACTTTATAAAGATGCCAGAATTGTCACTATTACGATTTAATAAGCTTTTGTAGCATGAATAAAAATGAACTAACGAATAATATATTAATTAGCATCTATATATACTACTAAAATTTTATCACTATGAACATTATAGCCATTTGATTTTTCAAACTCCTAAAAATTTTATTTTAATAACAACATTCACACAGATTTTAGCTGAGCAAAAAAAATCGCTACTTAACCTTTCAAAAGAAAATATACATATGAAATATATTTTAGATTTCTTGCAATATGTTAAAGAGCCATTTTTCAAATATAACAAATTACAAAAAAACAAAAAAATTATAATAAAAGCTTGCTGATAAGTTAGAATATGTTTTTAATAATCTAGATATATTATAACAACATCAGGAAGTTTTGAAGGTATTATTATACGCCATTATATGCATTAATTAACATTACTCGTTAAATAATACAATTACTCTATATTAAACAACACTATATATTTTATT